AACTGATGATGTCCGTCAAGTGATGGACGAAAGCTTGGTACGTTTTCACCGGAATCGAAGTAGATTGCCTCGGAAACAGCGTCAGCATGAATGTTCCAGTAAAGCCAATCGACAGCTGGTCAAGAGGAATGAGCCGTCGTCTTCTGGTGGAACCGACCTTCGAATCTCTTCACCAAACACTTCTACTCGAAATGGAAGTAACGTCGTCTTCTGGTGGAAGCGACCTTCGAATCTCTTCACGCAACACTTCCACTCGAAATGGAAGTAAGCTCAACAGTGTGAAAGCTATACCAGTACAAATTAGTTGCATTATAATGCTACTACTCATTGTATGGGTGTTTTCAAATACTTGCAAGAGTGCGCGAATCAGCTTTCATTGAACTCGCTTCTGCACGATTGGAAGAGTTGCGAAAAGACTATTCGGAGTAGGCTTCTTTTCATACATGCAGTGTGAATAAAGGCAGTCATCGAGGTGTGGCCTTAGTGGTTCAGATTCCCATCTGACGGAGGGACTGTGCCGGTTCGGATGCTTTGAGCGACCGGTTGTGCCCGCAGCCAGGCAGCCGTTTGGTCGCCCAGTGCGTTTTATGTGATGCATGTGGTGTTAGACTACGTGTCTCCAAATGCATGACAAGAAATGCGAACAACGAGATACAATGAGATGAATTCCCAATCTGAACCGACTTTGAGCATCACGACCCAAAAGTGTAACTGGTTTTTCGCAGCCTCTCCGTGCAAGACTGTGTGCGGAGAATAGCTGACCAATCCTCTCTCACTCACACAGCACTCACATTCACACTCTTGTCAGGCCTGTAAACACCCATTCGAGCAGGATTGTGCGAAGAGGTGCAGTGGTCCCAGAACGCATACACCCGCCAGCCTAGTCGTAATGAAGAAGCCACGGTCATGGAGCATACAAGCCGAATTTTGGCGTGGTAGGACGCCCTCGTGTTTAGATGTCGTGATGGTTACTAGATTGACACCCTTCCTGTCTCTCATGGCCTCATTTCTCTGCCTCATAGGCGGGATTGCAGTCGGCCAACATTTTGGGGTTGTGGATTTTGGGGGAGTTTTAGCAAATACTGGCTGCCCGTCTTTTTGGTACCGCCCCGGATCGAAAGGGGGAATAGTCGGTTTTAAGAAACCGCCACAGCTCTGAGGCTTCTTCAATCGCATGTGAAGCCTCACCTGCAGATGAAGATCCCAACTTAATAGGGCTCAAATGGACAAAGGTTGTTTCTGGAAGAGATAGCCCGAGGGAGTTCGTGGAAGATGGCTCGTTGGTGCATCACATGCGGCTATTGCATAAGGATTGAGGGAAAAACCATCAAGCTGAACCATTTCGACAAGGTGGAGAGAAGAGATTATACATTCTGGAGTCGCAGTAAAGCAGCCGGTGACGGAAGTTTTTTTCTCTAAACAATATGTCGAGTGTGAGGTTATTAAAGTGAAAAGGTGATTTCTTGCTTAAAGTGCACAGCCTAATTGTATGCTGCTCCACCATTTGCAGAAAATATGTCGAAAGAGAGCCAATTTGTGAAATATTAGACACTCAGTAAGCAAAGCCTCAATTGCTGTACTAAATATAACGCTGCAACGAATGGTAATGAGATATCCCATGAAAATGTAGGTATTAATATTTAGAAAAATCACTCGCTAGGCTAGTGCCAATACGACAGCGAATGTGTCTGTGATGCTTGTCGTGGAAAATTGGGGAGAAGGCCAAGGTGAGGTAAAGCGAGGTGAGGAGAAGGGGGACTGGATTGGATTCACATAGCCGATGGAGGATAGTCAAATCTTAAAATGTAAAAATAACTGCTCAATATTGCTTTTATGGCAAATACCAATTATGCGTGTAATGCATGTGGCACGAGAACATGCACATTTGCGTCAGACCAGGAGGGAGTCGGCGATGAGCCGAGATAGAAATCCCATCCGGATCAGTTGAAGCTCACACGACACCGACAACACTCGGGACATAACGAAGGTCGTAGCTATACAGACGGTCATGTTTTCCCTCATCGATGTTTCACCAAAAATAGTGCGAGCAGCGCGAAAAGAGGAGAGAAAGAGAGAATGAGAGAGGTGTGAAAATTCATCTTATCACACACCCACAAGACCGACTGCAGGCCTGTCATAATCAAGAAAATGCAAATTTTGAGAATATGTTATCCCATGTCCAGTTTGCGTCGTGTGTTATTCTAGTAAGATCTTTGAGGCTAACAGCCGCTTTGGCAAATGTTGTGTTCAATCAGTCTTTGTGGAACAGGGCGACAAGTCCCATAAACAGAAAAACGACTAAATAAACCAATTCTCAGCATAGCAGCCTGATTTGGATAATTGGTCAACTTTCTCGCTAAAACCAGAGCATAACCGAAGCAAGTATGGTGTGGTGTGGTGTGGTTTCCTAGAGAACCGTTTTTATTTATCAATCATTTTCAAGTTCGCCTATTAGTTTGGATGTAAATCAGTAAGGCAGTCAGGACATGAGAAAAAAGTCTCGGTTAACTTCCTTCTTCTCAAATATATTCCCCATAGAAAATGCATTCCTTATTAATATGATGTTATTTGCAATCAAGTCTTACATTTGTTTAAACCCATCTCGTTCTCTAACCGCTAATCTTATACTCCCAAAAATTATTGATTTTAAAATCTCTACCTTTGCCGGCATATACAGGTTTCCTGCCTACATTCCTGCCCAACCTGCCCTCTGTCCTGATTACCAAAACATCCAAGTGTTAAACCATTATCAGTTTCTGTTTCCGATGTGAACTCAGCATGACTACCCGACTAGTTAATTAAGGACAAGAAATTGACTAATCTATCTTTACCACACTCCCCAATTGCAAAATGACCATCAATGCATCAAACTAACAGTTTGGGTGTAATTCGTGCCTCTTTCTTGAAGCCGTCCTCCATTTTCGACATTTAATTAATGTTTAGCTTACTCCCATTTCGAGTGAACGTGTTTGGTGAATAGATTCGAAGGTCGACTCCGCCAGTAGACAACAACGGATTCGTCTTTACCAATTGTTTTTGAGGTAGTCTCCTTCGATTCCGGTGAAAAGGTGCTAAGCTTTCGTCCGTCATGTGACGAACATGATCAGAGCAAGGCATCATCGTCACAACAAAATCCAAGCTAATCAATCAAGAAAACTCACCGGAAAATCCCTAAAAAGTGGTATATATACTCTGTATCTGGCATGAAGTGATTTGGTTAGTTACGGTCATGTGTCACTCAAAATGGAAGTAAGCTCAACAATTATGAAACAATAGATTCCTTGAAACCAAACTTTTGTTCGAATATATAATAATTAGCCAAAATAGGAGCAAAACAAGATCTCATTACGAGACCTTACAACTGTATATAAAAAATAATATGAAAGGTGAGTTTTGCGCTACTCGTGGATAGGTTAAACAGCCTTAAATCTGATCGCTTGTTTCGCTCCTCTCCCAAGCGTTCTTCTGGGCCCCGTGCTGGAGCTTTGATAGCTCTCCGACAAGGAAGCATTGGTACCATATCAGAGCGTATAAAGGCCCGCCGTCAATAGCAAGACTGAGGAGGCCATCGAAATCAACAGAGGTTGGCGCAGGTCACGTGAAATCCTTCCTGGATTTGGGTAAAAATTGACCAGCTTTCGTCCAGGCATATGATGGACATCATCAGGCCTTGAACTCATTCTAGTAAATGTATCAAATTAACGCTAGTTTAACAATCACAATTCGTCTTTCGGTGAGATCGGCATTCAAATTTCCTCATCATGCCCTATCTATACGGAATTAAAGTCTCCCCAACCATACACTGAACGCCAGGAATACTGGTAACAGATTGAGTTAAAACTACTACTATCACTACAACTATTACAACTAGACTTTGATTTAGAACTAGTAAGCATATATATATATTTATATACTTACTAGTTCTAATTTATATATATATATATATATTCATATGCTTAATAGTTCTAATTTATATATATATATATATTTATATGCTTACTAGTTCTAATTTATATATATATATGTTTACTAGTTCTACTTTATATATATATATATATTCATATGCTTAATAGTTCTAATTTATATATATATATGTTTACTAGTCATAATTTATATATATATATATATATATTTAAATGTATACTAGTTCAAATTTATATATATATATTTATATACTTAATAGCTCTAATTTATATATATATATATATATGTTTACTAGTTCTAATTTATATATATATATATATTCATATGCTTAATAGTTCTAATTTATATATATATATATTCATATGCTTAATAG